TTATACCTGTGCAATCTGGAGGAAATATGAGATGTATCACTGATTACTTTGTGTTCTCAACTGTTCTATTTTTTATAGCTATCTATAGCCTTGTGGTTGACAATACACTATTTCATAAATGCCAGCCATTTCTCCTGAGTTTTCAATTGCTTTGCATTCTACCTATAAAACACTTAGGGAAATGATTTTAATGTTTCTTTAAATTAACCCTTAGTTGCAGTAATCAGAGAAAATCCAGTCTTTATAAAGCTTCTTTCAAAAACTACTGAACTTGGATATAGTAGCTTAGCTCCTAAATTAGAACTTTTTGAGTAGGTAAAATTATATACATCTCTATATATTGTATAATATATTACAATGAACGTATTTTAGCAGTATAATGACCAATTCATCTTTGCAGACCTGAAATAGATTTCTAGAAATCCCCATTTCTCTGTTCCACGTGGGGCATCCCTGTCTTGAGCATCTATGTTTGGGCCCCTTCTTTCCTTGTTTGGTGGGACTCCAACAGGCAGAAAGTTCTAGAGTGAAAACAATCATTTCTCATTCATTAAGTGAAAATACAGTTTTCTCTGTCAGGTTTAGGAGGTGTCACTAAATTTAAGGGTTCACTGCGATAAGCCAAAGAATTGAGCTAAATGAAAGGAGGTAGTGGAAGAAAATATACAGAAGAAGGTGAGTGCTGAATTACAGGAAAAGAATGAAATCACAAGGGAACAGAAAAATCATTTCCCGCGTGGAAGCAAGCTGTATCACTTTGTTTCCTATGAAATGAATATAAGTATGATAGTACACATGTTCAGCATATGTGTCATCATCTAGAAGGATAAACTGTCAACTGGTTGCAATTTTGGAGCACTTTGATCCATTTTAACTTACGTATTTAGTAAATATTTATTGAGTTTCTATTGTTTATTAGGTATTGTTTTAGGCACTGGAAATACAGAAGCAAACAATAACAAGTTCCTACTTTTAAGGCCTTTGGCAACAAACACTAAACACAGACAAAATAATGCACAATTTCAAATTCTTACAAGTATCAAAGAAAATGATATGTGGTGATAGAATGAAGACCGCTTTAAGAGGTAGTGGTGAACACTCTTTTAGGAAGAGTAGGCAGGGATGGTAACTATAGGGGGTGACATTTCATAGAGAGTTCAAAGAAATAAAAAACTGAGGCATGAAAACCTGTTGTAAAAGCTAATTGCAGGCACAGAGCAAGAAGTGCCTTGAGATGGGAATTCACTTAGATGTTTCTGTGGGTCAGAAAAAATACTGCTATGGCTCAAGTCAAACACAGTAAGGGAGAGTGAAAATGGTTTGCTACTAATAAGACTGCAATGGTGGGGAGAAACACGAATGTGTGATGTTCCAGAATATGTTAAGGCATTTTGATGTTTTTCCATTTCGGTGGAATGCTATTAGGGGTAGAAGCATGGAAATTATATAGTTGGGTTATGACTTAAACAGCAAGTGTGAGCACTATAGGGGGAATGGACTTGAAGTGGTGGAAGCAGTTTGACCAGTTAGAAGGGTCTGCAGCAGTACGAGTGGGTGATGATGGGGAATGAAACAGGGCTCGGTGAAGATGAAGAAAAATTGTCAGACTCATCTAATTTGCGGTAGATTGGGAGGACTTGTTGATGAGACTATTGAGATGTGATATACACAAATGGAAGGGGAACTTTTGGAAACAAATGTTGAGTGGTAGTATAATTTATGGAGAAGAGAAAGACTGAAGGAGCATTTGAAGAGTTCTGTGCCGGTGTCAGTGAATGAAACAGCCTGATTTACAAAGAAGGAGGAGATATGGGAATGTGAGAAATGACTAAAGTTGCTCATGGAAAAGTTAGTTCTTACGTGATAGACAAGTAGGGTTTCTGCCAAAATGAAATCACATTCAAAGTGAAGTCACGCTTTTATGGCATACAACAGATTTTCCTTTAAAACTGCACCTAGGATGCAGGGAAAATTTAGGAATGGAGAACAACATGAAGAAATAGTAGCAGGAAAAAAGGACAGAATAGATAGAAGCAAAACAGGTGCCTCTTAATGTGTCTGACTCTTGAGGAATAAACTCACTGCCTTTTCTCTTAGGACACCGCCTTTTCCCCAAATCTGGGCCAGTCCTGTCAGTCACATTTAAACTGCACGGTTAGCACCCCGCCCACGGCTGACTCAAGTTGAGCCAAATGTAGTTTCCATCTTGAAATTTGGAATTAGAATCAAGTGATATTTGTATCCGTTTTGAGGCAAAGCTCAGGCTTGAATCTTTACTGTAATATGTTGATGTGGGAATGTTAGGTTGACCATATGTCACTGTGTGAGTCTGAGAGGTAGAGGAAGTGTTGGAAGAGAAGAGAGGAAAATAGGCAATGAGGAAAAAAAGCAAAAATGGGAGAAGGAAAGAGTTCTGACTCCTGACGAGGCTGCACAGTGGGGCTCTTTGCTTACTTTTATCTCCCTACAAAACCCCTCCTAATTTGCACCTTCTGTTACTTGCACTGAAAGCCAAACTAGAAGCGCTCAAAACAATGATTTGGGGATTATTCCATTCTGAAATAAAGTCTTATGGGGTAAATGGTATAAGGAGGGGAGTGTGGGGTAGGGACACATGGCCCTCTCCTTACCTATGGTCTCACAGAGCACTGCAGCATAATGTACTACGGTCTCAAGGAGGAAAAAAAATCCTACCCAATAGACAGTAGTGTGACAGAACTAGAAAGATGAACATATGTGATTCCAAGTGGGTAAACTGCAAACATGCATGCACAGTATGCTGACTTAAGGATCGATGGCATGTTACAAGTACACACACATGCACACTTCTTTTTCAAACTTTATTGGTATAATATATATAGATAAGTAAATAAACAAAAGCACTGAATTTTCAAAACTGAACTTACTTGAGCAATGTGCTGTGTGATCAACACATCAAGGATCTCAAGAGTATAGGATTGTTTTGAATCTTAGTACTTAGCCAGAGAGTTCACACACTTACATAATTTACAGTATTTAATTCATCTTTAAATGAATGTACTGAGTCTGAAGTTGCTCCTCCTCTTTTCCCTGTCTTACAAACATTGCTACGCTTTCCACGCATTACCTCCCTTAACCGCTGCCACAGCCTTGGTAGGTGGAATGCCACGCCCGTTTACAGGAGGAACTAGAGGCTCGAGGTGCTTAGGGACATGTGCAAGCTCACATTTTTTTTTTTTTTTTTTTTTTTTTTTGGTACCGGGAATCAAATTCAGGACCTTGCGCTTGCCAGGCAGGTGCTTGTGCCACTGAGCTATGTCCCCGCCGCATACCTAAAAACTGGACTCAGCTGTGCTTTCTTCCAGAGTACTCTTACTTGCTACCGGCCCGTCTGGGACAGAATGATGTGGGTCACTGTCAGCAAATTCTTTTAATACACAAGTGATGCTGTATTGTAAGTAATGCGGTTTCCAAACAGGTATGGAAGATGGTGTGAGACTGCTAAGCCCTGCCTAGAAGGGACCAACGAAAATAGTGACTGCAAGAGATGATTTCAGATTTATATATTTAAGAATAGGAATTGGAAGGGAGGGAAGTGTTAAAGGAACGCCAGAACAGTCGGAGCCCGATGAGGAGTGGGACGGGCTTCATGGACACTGAAAGGAAGAGCAAATGAGGTTGGAAAGGCAGATGTGAGCGGAGAAGGAAGGGGAGGCTGAAAACCTAGAAAACCAAGATGATAAAAATCTGGAAAGAGGCGGCTATTTTGGGTAAAGTGAGATGAGTATGAATTTGATGTTTAATATGCATACAGGAGCTGTGTTATACAATTACAGAAAAAGTTTATGGCATCTTCTCTAATATCCTTCACTCTCATTTAAAACTTTTTATTACCTCCTATAGCAAAATGACCAAGTACTTTCATAGGAAGGAATAATAATGAAGACCGGGGTACAAAGCCGCTACCACCTGGTGTTGATATCTCACTAATGGATTTGGTTAGACCGCAGACTGGTAATTTCCAGCAGCTCTCTGTGAAGATCATGAGGGTTGTTTTTCCCTTCTCACCATTGGTACATAAGCTGCTTAGCGGTCAGGGCCTTCCCTCCTCATGGCCCTCCCTCCTTTCTTTTCTCTGTCTCTCTTTCTGGTTTTTGCTGTTAGTAAAATTAATAAAGCATATGCTTGTGTCATTTTGCTTATACCTCAAGGTACTAAATTTTAGCTAGATAATTTTAGTAAGACAACTGACTGAATACAGTGTATATCTCACTTCTGGGAATATTTCTTAGATTTGTCTTTTTAACTGATTCTGAAATAAATGTCCTCCCTTGGTCTCCGTCCTGTTTCTCCAGAGAATAATTTGTTTTGGCTTTATATTTAGTAAATGAGTCCCTAGCATGTACTAGACACCACTAACTATCTGAACAGATTTTAATCAGTGGAACCACTTTTATCCAGGCAAATATTGCCTGAAATTCAAACTATGTTTGTAAATGTGTGAATATTTGTTTCCACTATTGCTTTATAAAACTTGAGTTCTAGTGTAAATTTGTAATTTATAACTTTTCCTTGAAGAACTAACACTGCCAATTTTTCTCATGTAATTTACTCATTTGTTGTCTTAAAAGAAAAACCAACAATCTCTAAGTTGCTGAGTCTATATCTCACTCAAACTTCCTCTACTTTTCTACCAAATTAAAAAAAAAATAAGGAAACTAACTCAAGAAATAGGAAAAGAGTAAGGAACAACTTAAGGCACTAAAGTTTAACATAGTCTCATGATAGGATGGAAATTATTTTAACCAATTTACGCAATTATACAAGAGGTCTATGTATTTCAGAGCCAGAGCAATTAATAGACAATATAAGTTTATTAAGAGTGTTTTCTATAAATATTTCACATGGTTTTGCTTTGAACTCCATGGCTTATCACAAATTTGCACTTGATAAAGCATGATTCCCTAAAAAGAAGAGATGACGAAGGGTGAGGCACACAATAGCGGTTACTTCTTACTTACAGCAACGGCCTCCAGGATTTGTTTAACAGCATCTGCAGCGTCTCGCTCACTGTAATACCCCTTCTCCACAATCCTAGAAGAAACACGAAATACTTCTCAGACACACACACTTAGTGGAGTGGATGTTAAAGAAGTTAACTAGATTAATGTCACAGATGATACATCTGAGCAATTGCAGTAGCCTACCATAACAGCAGGGGGAGGGTTTCCATAAACTGGTACCCTAAAGCCTCTGAATTTACTTAGGAAAATGGAAAACATTTATTTTGCCTTGTCTTAAACTCTCAATCCTATTCCAGGAGAAAAACATTCATTCTTACTAAACTTGACATTGTAAGACATTCTGAACAGATGCCAAGTAGACAACGTACAAGGAAGCACCCAACGTCATTGTCATACAGCTTCAATAATTATTATTTCAGGACCAATCTTCTTGTATCTACGCAATCACTTTCCTACCTCATTTATTATTTTGAAGCAAATATTAGATGGCAATAAATTGACTCCTAAATATATGAGGTGTAAAAGAAAAGAGATCTTTTAAATCAAAGCCATAATGACAAGCACATCTACAAATCACAATAATTCCTTAATATTATCAAGTGACCAGTTTTCCAACTTCCATGTCTTGAAATGTTAGATTTTGATCTGAATTAGTGTTCCAGTAATAGCTATAAAACTTGATTACTTCTCAAAATGGGTCTTTATCTGATTTTTGTTTCTTTTAAAAGTGGGAAGAAGTAACAAGTCCTCAAAGTAGCTGGAATTGAAAGTTAAACTTTAAATCTACAAAATGTTTTCAGATGAGAGGAAACAGTGAAGAAAAGAAGAACAGCTTTCACAAAATAAAAAGATATATTATTTAAAATACATGAGTATTATAGCTATCAAGATTCAGGGGCGAGAACTATACAATTTCAATTACTTTCTTTCCCATTCAATTATTTAGAACAATGGCAAGAAACACAGACTTGTCATCTTTTCAAAGTATGAAAGCTTTAAAAGGCTTTGAAACAGAATGAGAAAATAGGTTATAATATTAAGGGATGTCATTAATTGTTCTTGAAATTCATCAGATGATATTTCCTTATAAGACTACAAGCTTTATATATTCATGATTACATTTGGTAGTATATTTCCTAACATTTAATTAAAATAATTTATTGACCTATATTTTCTTAACACTTTAAAATTAAGTATGAGACAAGGGGAAAAGAAAGGCTATTGTGACGGTAAGTTGAGTGCTATGACTAATATTACATCACTGTCCATATGTTTCTCTAGATGTAGATTTTGTGATATATTCATTAGCGAGCACAGGGGTAATCAGAGCTCTTCGCACACTGCACCTTCATGCTCAGGAACTTGGATCTTTCCAGTCTTGCTAAGAGTTAGAGAGCAATTGTTACAAAGATGGGGAGAAAATAATTCACCTCCTGACCTGCAAAAGAAGTGTGCATTCTCTCCAGAGTCCCTTACCCAGATTACAGCTTCACTCAAACTGCTTTGTGCAACCCCTCTATGGGGTACTGCTCATGTCTTACTCTGTACAAATGGTACTTCTGGAGCTGAACTGAGCCAGGTTGCACAACTGTGATCCATGTCCCCGTCCCCAAGTTGTTGGCTAAATACACAGTTCTTATAGGTATGAAGTTTGCAAAGGAAATGTCTGCTCTGTACTTTGGTTTATTATGAAATCTCAGGCTTTGGCCTAGATGTGGTTTGTGTGTTTCATTTGAGTATAATTTAGGGTTAAGTGCATGCTATGGACTAAATGTTTGTGTGCCCCAAACTTCATATGCTATGACGGAGCCACTAAGGTCCTAGCTATTAGGAGGTGGAGCCCTTGAGAGGCGATCAGGTCACGAGGGTGGAGCCCTTAGTGTCCCAGGGCACTGCTTCCGCCTTTGTGCCATGTGAGATCAAAGCAAGAATGCACCATCTACACACCAGAAAGCAGTACCTCACCAGATACTGAATGTGCAAGCACTTTATCTCGTACTTTCCAGCCCAAAACTATGAGAAATTAACTCCCCTTGCTTAAAACATTTTGTTGTGAGAGTCCTAATGGAACAAGGCCACTGGGACGCAGTCCTACTGGAACACTGTGTAATGTCCACAAACTAGCTGGATGGAGGGGTGGATTTTCTTGGGAGCTGTTTCCAGACAAAGCTAAGAGCAGTGCAAAGCAGAACAATGGTTAATGGAACTTTTACTCATTTCCCCCAATGTAAGTGATGTCAAATTAACAAACTCGTTCATCTAATTAATGGAGAGGACACATTCTAACACATACATGCACCCACTCATTTGTTTAATGCACACTGTGGAGAAACGATGAGGTGCATGGCAGCCAGTAGTGAGAGAGACACGGCTGCCTACTCTCGGGCTTTCTCCTAGAATAAGCAGCCAGACAACAATCAACTGAGTGCTAAGTGCTGCCACAGAGGCATTGGAAAGGAGCCTCAAAGATCCTGAAAAGGTATTAGTGTATTCTGGACCACGGAGGGTGGGGACAAGATCCCAGCGATACCTTAGACCAAAAAAGTGCACAGAAATTTCTCCGATACGGAAAGGGTGTGAAGTGCAGTTTGCAACAGGTAAGGCAGAGAAGCAGAGGGTCGGGCAGAAGGGAGGCGGTTCTAACAACAACAAAACAGGAATGAGGTCGTACTAAGAGAGCATTAAGATGGGTTGGTTATACTGATCACTATTTCCCAGTGTCTAATGTGAGTCAAGAATTTGATGGCTGTAAAATGAGTCAAATGTGGGCTCTCGTGCAGGTGAGACCACCAAGTGGAGAAAAGCAAGTTACAAGCAAAAGAACACTATCACAGATGCAAGCATGTTACACAGGGACTGTACAGCTGAGGGCTGTGTTAATTCTGTAGCGAGAAACAGCATCCCTCGAGCAGGTCTGTGGAGCAAGGACACCGAATGTGGGTGCTTCTTCTGGGTGCTTCATCTCGCCTTGAGCCCTGCATGTTACATCCCGGCCTCCCATCACCCTTCAACTGCTTCGCATCAAGGCCGCTTCTGGTATCAGGAGATTTGTTTTTTCCTTCCTGGGTAATTATCAGTCAAAGTGCCACAGGAGTAAATTTCTGGAGCTCAAACATTCGCTTTTAAATATTTTATAAGTTGAGGTTGATTTTTGAGTCATTTGAGGTTGACTGGAAAGCAGAGAACTTCTCAAACTGCAAATGCAAGTTTATCACTTAGAACTATAAGTGAAGACATTAGTGACCAAGCAAGGAAAATGAATTATTGAAATCTTCATCTAGCCACTCATGTCAAACGGTGTGCCTGGATGATGCCTTGTGGGGACACTCTCAGCTCTCTCACCACACTGTGGCTGGGAGCGCTTGCAGAGCCCGGCTGCAGGTGTTGCTCAGGGTAGGCGGTCTAAACGTATTTGTGGCAACAATATTAACTGCTAAGTGAATGGATTCAGAAAAAAATTCATACTGTGAACTCTGGGACAATTCCTTTGGAACAAAAGAATTGGGTTTGAAAGTGATGTGCAACCCCAGTACCCTGGCCGTGGGTCCAGAGGGAAACAGCCCTATGAACGCTTCTCAAAGAAGAATGCACTAAGTAGGAGGATTATTTCTGACCTCAGGAACAAACTTAAAGTTATACAGCTTTAGATATTACCGAAATGTAAATCTTCTCAGAAACAAAATCAAAGCGATTTAAATTCAGTACCATAGAATACTGTCTTTGTTACAAAGTGACACATAGCAATTCCTTTATACAATTTAACTGGTATTTAAAGCAACTGGTGATGAAAATGAACCACGGCTAAGCAGACAAAGGTTTATAGCTTTATACAAAAGATATCAGTGATTTGGATTTCTAACAGCATGAAGGTATTCAATCAGTACAGGGGGTTTAAAGCTTAATAAGGGGTAACTAGGGGTGATGTCTTTGTTTCTGAGTGCACTTATTACTTTATTTCTCTTCAAATCTAGTGCACTAATTTCCTTTCTATGCTTTGTAAAACCATACGAAAGCAATTAAGATGCAATCAGAATCTTAAGATCATTTTATAAGGGTGAGGGCCACACAATTTTGGTACTGGGTTCTGGCTATGATGAAAGGCTCAGTGATTTAAAAAAAAGGTCTCGGGGCTGGGGATTTAGCTCAGCGGCAAAGCGCCTGCCTGGCAAGCGCAAGGTCGTGAGTTCGGTTCCTGGTACCCGAGAAAAACCAAAAAATAAAATAAAATAAAATAAAAAAAAATAAAATAAAAAAAAGGTCTCCCAGGTTTTATCCCAACACGGACCCCAGATGCTGCCCACGGGCCCCAGATCTTACAGACACCTGGAGATATGGAAAGGAAACACAGGGGCAGCAGGGTGCTCTGGGTGCCTCCCCGCAATCCTCTGCCTCAACCACCTCTCTTCCTCCAACCGTGTGTCTTTTACTCGCACTGCTTGCTGTGCTGGTCCTTGCATGCCTCTTCCCCCTCGTTGGTCTGTTTTCTTTCTCATCATTTTAAAATTGTAGGATAAAAAGATGCGAGTAATGCCCATTTCTCTCCAGGGTCTGCTTTAATGCATGGCTCACGTGCATCTGCCTCCGTCACACTAATTGCTGCAAATCGAATTGAGCACATCTCCATCCAGGCAGTTAGCACAGGCACTGTAGCTGAAGAGCTCTAATCTGATCATATCCTGAGGCCTCAGACTTCCTGGCATGGAGATTAGGAGCCCTACCGCTCTGCCTTCGGGTATAGCTCTTTCTCAAATGGCTGTATTATTAGGGGAGCGTAGGTTATGTGAGACATTGGTTGGATACACGCATGGGCTGAAGGATAAAATGTCAGAGAATAAAAGCCCTGAAAAATGTGAGCTTCAGGAACCAATCTTTATGGCTACCAGTACCATTATGCTGTTACACGTAAAATTATGCTAAAATGAATTCTGCTGTGTATCCAGCTCAAATTCACAATTCTATTATAAGTTTCATTTACTGCTTTTTCTCACTGGGGGCTGGAGTGCTTTCTGATGCTCTCTCAAAGAACTTTCCCGTAGAGTATTAGATTCATGTATTAAACAAGGGTGGTTT